TTTGGTATTATATTCACTTAAACAATCAGAAAAAGAAATCTAATATTAAATGCTGAAAGAGTCAAATATTAAAACCAGTTTTTCTGTGTTCTGAGTATGAAACAACAAAATGCTTGGTTTTTTTAGTTGTAATTCTAAATTCTGTCCTACAAGTGGCTAACGCCTCTTCCTGTCTTTGCCTCTGTTAATGTAGAAAACAACATGGGGTAAACTTTCTGCATTTGTGATGTGACATGAATTATTTTTATATTGAGAATATATTAAGTGTATAATAGGAAGGAGAGGCAAAATGAATAGTAAAGAGACAAAATGCAGAACTTTGGTTTTTTAGCTTGCCAGACATGTTAAACTGAAAATAAAATCTGAGTTTGTAGCATCTGGGGGAGTATATAGATTTTTGGAAGTCATAATAAATAAATCCTCTCATTAAAAAAAAAAACCTTTTACTGAGTTTCATAGAAATAATTAAATATGTGGTTTATGAGGTTACTGTGTTAAGTTGAATACACGAAAAAATTACTAATGCTGTAACTCTGAATGTGTCAGAAAATTGGGGGGTTGGAAGAAAATGCCCTATGAGCAAGTTACTCCATTATAATTCCCTGTGACTTTCTGAAGAACATGATGTCATTTGGTTGGACATCTTTGGGTTTTGATCATTTACTGTGGCAGTTCCTATTACCCTGTCTCGAGGTCTCATTTGTGTACTGCGTTTGTTTAATGTAAACCTCCTCAGTGTCTAGGTAAACAAATGTAAAGCTCTGCAAGGGCTTTGCTAAGTAGACTCAAGTGGTCTCACTTGCTGCATGCAGTGAAACCTAAATAAGGCGTTTGGAATTCTCTGGGAGCAGCTTGTGCTGGTTGTGTTAAGCTGGTTTGGTTATTTATCCTGGTGAAACTCGTGCATCTCTCGGGTTATTTACATCTCAGGATTGTTCTTCCAGCACTGTGCTTCTCCAACTTGCTTTCTCCTTTTGCTTTTGCATGTGTTTTCTAGTGCCCTGTTTTGGAGAGTTGATCTTGCTGTGTGCTTTGTAAAACCTCTTTCTCTTCACTGGGATGGAGCTTCCAAAGGAGAGATTTTCAGGGGTCTGTATGTGTGAGCCACAGCCATTGTGTGCTCTGGAGGTTGGGAAGGAGAGGGGAGGAACATGAGGTGGCCACTGAGGAGGAGCTCCCTCCTCACCCATTGCAAAAGCCTTTAACTGCTCTTTTGCCTGGGACTGCCTTTAGCTCTTAATTAATCTAAAGATCCCTTTTAAATTCTGCGAATTCTGGAAATTTAAAAACTACCTGCCAGCTGTAATTCATGAAGAGGAAGGAACCCCTTGTCTCGTTTGAATATTCAATCACTGTATGTAGACTTCTGCTTTTAAATAATATGATTGGTAAATCCAGTCGATCTTCAACCTTTGTGGAAAACCCCTGAGTATTTACAACTTGTGACTTGAATATTTGTGCTAATTAAAACCCCATATTATTCATAGGACCCTGGGATGAGAGTCACTCTAAGATGTGCTTCATTGCTTTTAAATGGTTAGCACTAAAATTGTGAATTTTGAAGGAAGTCATTGATGTTGTTTCAATAGGTAGTTAAGGAATGGTGGTTCTTGGTTTTCTTTCTAACACTGTTTTGTACTCATAAAAAATAGTCACAATTAGTCAGAATGGACTAATCTAGTTAATATTGCCTTGAGGAAAAGTTCTAAATTTCAGTCTGCTATACAGTGTTCTTTAGGTACCTAAATAATTTCAGAATGCCATGGATTTTTTTATGTTGTCCAGACTTTTAATAAATTTGGTAACCTTTCATTAACCCTATTGCTTTATTGTACCTGGTGTTTTTGAGAAACAAAAAAGTTGAATATATTTCAGTACGGTAACTTGGAAGTGTGCTGCTGAAAACAACACACCAAAAAATATGTTACTTTGAACCTTTGTAATGGGCACTTGTAAATCCAGTGTTATATTACATTCTATATGACATCCCTTTTCATTTAAAAAACCCCCAGGACTCACAGGATCTTTATCAAGATAACCTGTGCTGTTGGATGGTGGAGTCACAGGTTCTTGAGACTGGAAGTTGTTTCTGGATGTCTCTCTGGCCCAAGGCAGGTCCAATTAGGTCAGGTTATGCAGTACTTAATGAATTTTTAAATAAGCTGTTCCACCTCTTGGCTATATGATTGCTATCCCTAAACAAAATGTATAAATCAAGAAGAGCTACATTCAGTTTATAATTTAATGAAATAAACTGTGGGCCTGGTAGTTGTTTGAAAGTTGCCATCAAAACAGAAATTATTCCATTTCAGGATGGGACAGCGTTATGGCAGAATTTGTGTATGGATAGCAGTAAGGCACACCTAGGATTCTTGGCTTTGGGAAAAATCTTCTGAAGCCCCTGTAATTTTCCATTTAAGGTGAACTTTACTCTTGAAGCAGTTAGAAAGCTCAGGTACCCTGGATCCAGCAGGGGCACTCATGGATATGCAGTGTAAGAGCAGCAGAGGCACAAAGTGCTGCTTCCTGGCATCACTCTCAGCAGCAGGTTATTGGGAGCTGAAAGAGCTTTCTGATCCAGACATGGTTTCTTTATATCAATAACGCATAAATAAATTTAATGCACTGATTATTAAAATTGTTTCAAGAGTAGCACACATTTTTAATGACTATAAGTTAGCCACACGGGCTGGTTTTGGTGATCACAGGTCCCTGTTTGGGGAGACAAAAAAATGTAATATCTTGAAATGTTTGTATAAACCATAGAGATGTGAGCCTCTCTCAAAGGGGGCTGACACTGGGGAGGAACAGCCTGGAGCAGATCTTGCCTTAGTAACGTGTTCTTGTTTTAATTTCTTTTTTTTTTATAGTCACAACCTTCTCCCAATGAAATTCTAAAGCAGATGGTTGTTCCTTTTTCTTTTTTTCCTTTCAGGGTCTACTTATAGCTGTCTTGTTAGAACATGGATATTTAATATTTATGCAGTATGTACATGTGCACTGCTACCATTTGCTGTCTACATTATTTTAGTCTTCCATCTTGCTTAACAAACAGTGTCTGGACTCTTCAGTTTTACAGTGTGGTTAATAGAGGTCTTTCAATCAAAAAAGCACATAATGCTTCTGCTGTTTTTTCTTACTCCTGTGCCCCTTAAATGTCATCAAGTTTACAAAACTGGGGATATATGAACAAGTGAGTTATTCAGTTTAAAATAAAATAGCTTGAAGCCTCTATCGTATTTAACCCCTCTAACTAAGCTCAGAAGAAGTTTGAGCTGATTTAATCCTTTGAGACAGAGCTTTGACAGAAGTGTGAAAATGCCACATTGCTGTATTTCTTCACAGCTGAAGCAGATTCTTTTCCCCAAGTAAAGAGAATTTTGTTGCACCAGCAGATCATTACTAGTGTAGGTTCTATGGTACAAAACCTGTGTTTGATCTCTGTATCTTACAGATGCAAAATAAAGGATAAATTTGTCTCTCAGCCAACTTTATCTGTTGACTGACCTGAATTCAATGTATATTGCTGAAGAGTATGGGAGGGAGAAGCCAATCCAGAAAAAGCCAAATAAACCAAAACCTCCTACTCTTTCCTGGAGGTTTATTAGATGAACACCATCAAGAGCTGTGTATGACTGCAAAAACCACAATGATGATAAATGAGACACGTTGTTAAAAAGAAACCACTGATTATTACCATGCACAGTGGATAAACTGATTTAAAACCTGATCTGGTAGGGAACTTTGTTTTCGCTGTAATTTGATACAGCCTCATGGGTTGTTGCTGTAGCTTATGGGTACCGCTGACCTTTTCCTTCTCTGCTTTTTAAATAATTATTAATGCAATATTTGTTTCTAAATGCAGGATAAATCGTATTGCAGTATCACAGTAATTTAGCTGAGTTCAGCAGTGAAATATTCTGACTTCATGTAGCCTTAACTATTAATAGAAATTGTAAAAAAGTCATGTATATGTATTCAGAGAAGCAGAAACCATAGCATTTAAATCTTGATTGCATCTATTTTTGTGTTTATTAAGCACTTACTTAAGCTGCATTTTTTTAATGTCAGTTTGAACAAATGGAGTTGATAGATGATGACTGTCACTAGTTCAGTCACAGGGTATGACTTTGTCCTCCTGGAGTACCAGGGAATCTCTGAACTGCTAAACATCAGTGTTCCCTTCTTCACTGGGGACCAGACACTCATTCACCAGGTGTTCTGGTCAACAGGTCAGGTATATCTGAGATGTGAGGATGGATATTAGAATTGGTGAGGGTAGAAAATGGATGAGCTGCTGCTGGCACAGGAGAAAATGGAGAGTAGTGGGATGCTACAAGCTCTCTTTAATCTTGCTCTTAAACCTTCGAATGATTTGGACAGTGTGGAATGGTATTTAACTGCATAAACCCTGCTTAAAAAATACTTCCTTTTCTGCCTGAGGATAGTTTTCATTTTTGGGGTGGTCCCTGGCAGCTGAGGAGGCTGGGTGGTGTCTGTGTGTGAGGTGTGGGTGTGATGGAGCTGCTCTGGAGCTGCAGTTTGCTCCAGCTCAGTGCTTGGGCTGGAGGCACGCAGGGCGTGTGCAGCTGGGCAGGGGCAGGGGCTGGGCCATGGCTGGTGCTCCTGGGGAACATCCCATTTTCTGTGGATGTGCTGAGGCTGCCTGGGCTGTGCACAGTTTTCTGGCTGTGTTTGGGATGTGTCCCCTGTGTGTGATACCGAAGGGTTGGACTGACTCAGCATGGGCCATGCAGTTTATTCCCAGGCTTTCCACCTGGGAAATCCATTGCACTCAAACAGGAGTCTGAGCTTCAGCTCATGTTTGTTTTTCACTTAAATACCATAATGATAATATTGTTCACCAAGAATATTCACTAAATAGAGAGCATTGTAGGGCATGTTTTGAACCAAGCTGATCACTCTTCAAAACATATTATAAAAGTTCTGATGTATTTTTGTTCTGCATGCTTGACTCAGAATTTCTTTTCTCTTTTCAGGCAGCTATAAATGGTGTTATACCACAAGAAAATGGCATTCTACAAAGGTAAGCACAGAGGACTGGAGTAGTACATACAGAGAATGATGCTGGGTAACAGTTACTTTTTTTTCCTTCCTGAATCCTAAGAAGATGACATAATTCCCCTTTTAAAGCTGTTTCTGGAGCCACAAATTCTATTCCTGGCAAAGCTGATTTAACATTCAGTTTTTCCCATACTGATAGGGGATTAACTCAAACATCTATTCAAAATAGTTAACTTTTATTTTGAATTCAGTGGTGGTTGGGTCATTCTTTGCAGGGTTGTCTCTTTACAAAGATTAGGTGTTGGTATGCTTCTGGCTAAGTATTTATTCTTCCTTATGCATTTATAAAGGTATTGATATTCCATGCTTCCCTATTTCTGGCCAAAAACATTTGTACTTGGGGTTCTTTTTTTTTTTTTTTTTAATTTAATTACAGGCAGCAGAAACTGTGATAAAGTAAGGTTGTTCCCTTCTAAAAGTAGTTTTACTGATTTTCTTTCAGCTTCTGAATTAAATTTTGGCTTGCATACTGATGCTTGGATATCTTGAAGTCACTGAAATTTGATCTTCTAAGTGCTGATGAGGCAATTGAAAACAGCAGAACGGGAATTAAGCTACCTGAGAGAGACAGTAAAACAGTGTTTAAAAATTTTCAGAAAAATAATTAATGTACTATTTAAAAATTTTTAATAATTAAATAAGATATGTAATATAGGTAAAGTGGTGTTTGACATCTCTGTTAATGCTTACTAATTCAACAGAGTCAGGTTTTGATTTAGGATAAAACTATTTGTCCAGTAAAGTTACTAAATATATATTTACTGTAAGGCCTGCTTAGTCCATGTGAGATCAAGCCTTGGTTGTGTGGAGCACTCATTCTGCGTACAAGTTGTGATCTCAAAGCATTTCTATCCAAAATCCCAGAATGTTTGGTTGGGTAGAAGAAGCTGAGGAATAATTAGTTAATGCCTGTCTTCAATCACAAGGTGGTCCAGTGCCCAATTACATTTTTCTTTCACAGTAATTTATTAATTTTTAGAGATTATTAGATAGTCAATTGTGTTTCAAATGGGTATTTTTGTTACTTTATTTTTGTCTTGTTTTGTATTCTTCCAGTGGAAGTGGTTTAAAGGGAGGCTCAGAAGATTTAGAAACCTGGTTTCCAGATAAGGCTTACTTTACTGATGTGGGGCTTTTTATGTTCTGTTAGAGGTTGCTTGTCAGATACGTAGGATGCCTTTTTTGGTGGAATCAAATAAAATTAATACAACTGGACTTGAAGCAAGTTAATTTATTGAAGGGAAAAAAGTACCCTTTGTTGTATAATTCAGTTGCTTGTTTTGTAATTCAGTCCTGAGAACTGGGATATTAATTGCTTCTTGGGTCTACTAACAGAATTGTTACTTAATTGTACTTAATTCATACTTGTCCACCAGGCTGAAGAAAATAATCTATCACTTGGTATTTATACTTTGTTAAATACTGAAAATTAGGATGTTTCCTGTACTCCTTAGAGTTCTGACGTGGGCCTTTGACTTTTGAGCCACAGGTCTGAGCGTGGGTCTTTGTAGCTGGGCATTCATCCTTCTGAGCATGCTGATGTGAGAAGTGAAGGAGCCCCTTGTTTTACAAGCATAACATGTTTTTCTGGTACAAATGTGAAAGGCACAATGATGGGATTTGCAGTAGCTGAGTACTGTTGCACTTCAGTGACATGCATGCCGTCCACATTTGCATCCATTTTTTAAAGTTTTTAATGTTAAGACTTTTTAGGTTCAGGTTTTTAGAGTTCAGACCTCCTCTAGGTGACAGATTTCACTTGCTCTATGAAGGATTTCCACTGGGGATCTAATGGTATCTTTGAGAACAGAAGGAATTTTTCAAATAAGTTCTTGTAAAGAGTGGAAATGAGACAAATTATGTTGCAGCATTTCTGAAATCCACCATGAGATTCTGTAACTACCCATCATCTTCCTGGCAAAAACATCTAAAAGGCAACACCCCAGGTTTACCTGATGAAGTTTCTTGCCTTCCAAATTTGGTTTCTGTACATTCTGTACATCATAGGGATTTTTTTTTTTTTTTCTGCCTGGAGTAATATTCCTGAAGTTTTTTACACTTGTTTCCAATCCCAGTGACATGCTTGCTGTGGAGAGGCTCTGGGGAAGATGAAGTGCTTCTGGGTAGTGAGGGTTTTCCAATTTATTCTGACCTGTAATGCTGTAGGTGTCCTTGAGTCAGGTATGGAGACATCCTTTTATGAACCTCCAGGAGCCTTGCAGGATTTTAAACTTGAAAGAAAGCATTGCATTACTTCATTGTTGTACTTCTAGGTGTTTTCTTTATAAAAACGTGCTTCATTATCTTAATTAATTTACTTAAATGTCTCTATTTTAATATCTGACTTGTTTTTCACTTATTTTCTGTGAGAAAATACCTATCTGCCTGCAGAATTTTGAGCTGTATTCTCATTTCCACTGGATATCAGCCCAATGATGTAGAAAGCTGGTCATTGCCACGGTGCTAATTTTTATATGGCCACAACACTCCTGGAACAGGAAACAATCCTCCTCAAGATAATTCTGGGATCAATTACATAGTGGATTTTAAATGCTTGTTTATCACCATTGTTGATCTCCTGTAGCACTCCTGAGCCCTGAAAGGTTAAAACTGCTAATATACAAGTTATTTTTTCATTTTTAATAAGCATTTTTTTCAGATATGACAGCACTAACTCAAGAGGTGTGTGCTGGACTGTAGTAAGTGAATAATACTGTCATTTTACTTGCCTAACTTCTGGCTAGACATACCAAGCTGTTCTGTTTCAATCATCTCATTTGCCTGTCTTTCAGTGAGTACGGTGTAGAGACTTTGCATGGACCAGCGTATGGCCCCAGCAGTCACTCTGCTGCAGCTTCTTCAGCTCCCTCCTCCTCCTCAGCATTTCGCCATGTAGTGCCATCCAGACAAATAGTGGAAAGACAACCTCGGATGCTTGACTTCAGGGTTGAGTACAGAGACAGAAATGTGGATGTAGTACTTGAAGACAGCTCTACAGTTGGTAAGGATTTGTGAAAATGAAGTGAAAGCTGCCGCCGTGAAACTGTTAAAAGGACAAACTAAAAAGATTCAACCCAAATAATCCAAGTCCTAAAGCAAAGTAGAACAAAACCCCTCAAAAAGGAAAAACAAGAAAGATCCCCTTGAAAATGCAGCCTCCAAAGCTACTAACCATTTTCAAATCTCTTTACAGCTTTATAAAAGCAAAATTTCACTAATCCATGGTAAAGGTTAGTGATCTATCAAATACTTATTTTGAAATCTAGTTTTCTTATGGAATTGCTTCAGAAACAAAATGGAGATTAATGATTAAGTTGAGGCATGAAAATGTAATTTGGGATAGGATTAGTGTAGATGCAAGCTATTAATAAGTGGATGATCTTGGCATTTCCTCTTTGAATCTGTATGGCATCTCTTTCTACAAAGGATTAGTGACAAGATTAGAGGAATTCTTCCTGGTGTGAGGAACATCATTGCATTCTTCGTAGTTCAATTTTTATTTGACCCTTTCATTCAAATTAAGATTAATTCTATAAGTTTTATTGTCTTTATCGTAAAAAGGATACATTTTGAAGCAGTATGTTAGAAGTGTGCTAGTGTTTCAGAGCATACTATTTTTTATATTCCTCAAATTGGGAATTCATTTACTTCTGGTAAGGAAGAAAGGTATTTTATTTTATTTTTATTTTTAGTGAAGAGCTTATACAGATCCAAATAAGGAGCTACGTGAAGGAATAGTTGATGAAAGCAAATTTCCGTGCAGCAGCCTTTTGTCTGGGATGAAATTTGGAAATTGAAACTTTTGATCCTCACTTCTCTTTTCTGCAATGGATTTGGTGTTGGGTGGCGCCACCTAGCGGTGCTCGGTTTGAATTATCGATGGGTGTTCTCGGTTTTACTTTGTGCTAAGTTACATCCGTGGAAATCAGACATCAAAATCTCCTCAGATCAGAACTTTTCATCTGATTTTTCTTTTCTTATCGACATCTTAATACTTGATTTTTACCTGAAAGCTGTAGGGCAGAAGGCAGTTTGTGTAAAACTTTTGTATCTTGCCATATAAAGATGGAGGGCAGCCTCGTGTTTAAAGTCCTGGGAGAAGTGAGCAAGGCAAATTTTAGAAATTCAGCTGTGGACTTGAGGAAAGAATAGTTTTGGCTTTTTAGGGGATCTGCTTGCCCATGAGAGGCTGCCCAGGAGGGCACAGGGACCCAAGAGAGCTGGTTGATCTTCAAGAACAACCTCTCAAAGCACAGGAACAGTTCCTTCCAATGTGCAAGAGGAGCAAGCATGGCAGAAGGTCAGCACAGAAGAAAAAAGCATTTCTGGCTGAACTAAATTCAAAAACAAAGTAGCCAGAGCTGGAAAGTAGTGATGGGCTGCCCAGCAGGAGCACAGGGGTGTGCAGGTTTTCAGTTAGGAAGACCAAAACACAGCTGAAAGTGAAACCACTGAGGGGTTAGAAAGGGTTTCTCTAAGTACATCAGTGTGAGAAGAAAGGCTAAGGCAAATGTGAACCTGTGTTCAGTGGTGATTGCTGAGCTTTGTCTGTAGGAAGATTATGGAGTAAATATTTCTGGAAGCACTTTTTGAGCACAGGAGAGAAAATAAGGGGATTTGGAACAGCCATCATGAATTTACTAAAGGCAGATTGTACCTAATCAGTCAGCATTATATGCCTTTTACAATTTGAGGGCTGGCTCAGTTGACAAGGGGAGAGAATGTCACTGTGGCTTTAGTAAGGCCTTGGATGTGTATTTAGTAAGGCCTGCTGTTGCATTTTTCTAGTCATAGTGTTAAGATAAAAACTGATCAAAATAAGTCTTAATCTGATCAGAGAAGGTATTCTGAGCAGATATTCTGGAGGGCAGGGCTAATGTTAGTGGGTCCTGGACAGTCTGAAGAAATGAGCTGACAGAGCCTCCTGAAGTTCCAAGAAAATAAAGTGGAAGTCCTGTATCTGGCATAGGATAACTCCATGTTTATCCCCACCTAATATCTGGTTGTAGGCTGATGGGCTAAAATACAATTTCATCAAGGGGATCTTGAGTGCTGCAGCAATGAACTGTTGCAGTGAAGAAGACCTGCCACGTCCCAGGCTTTGTTGGTGAGACTGTAACCAGTGGATCCCAGGAAATCATTATTTCCCTCTATTCAGCGCTTGCCAGACTGCATCTGGAGCACTGGGTGGGGTTTTGAGGTGCTCACCAGAAGAAGATGATGACATCCTTCAGTTAGTCTGGCCAGGGCTCTGGAGCTCTGGGCTAACAGGAGGAGAAGCACAGAGAAGGGGATTTGTCCAGACCTGACCTCTGTCTGCAGCTGCCTGCTGGAGGACATGGAGAAGATGGAACCAGACTTGTCCTGGAAGTGCATGAAAATGGAAGGCAATAGACACATCAACAATTCACATTAAATAAAGTTTTTGGGGTTTTTTTTGTGAGGGTGGTGAGGTACTGAAACTGGTTGGCCAGAAAAGTTGTCCAAATTCCATCTTGACATGTTCAAGAGCCAGTTGGACAAGTCATTGACTAAACTGGTTTAATTAGACCTTTGAGTTAGGCTTGGGTCACATGAACTCCAGAGGTACCTTCCAGCCTGAGTTACTTTATGACTGTGATAACTACAGGGGCAGAAGAGCATCAAAATGTACAAAGCATTGGAAAAGCTGTCAGAGCAGTCACTTGTATGAACATTCTGGTTCCTTAGGTCTGGACTAAAGCTAATGAAATTTGGTATCAGAAAGATGCACCCTCTTTGTTGCTGGCAAAGCCTGGTGCTCCAGATAGCACACGGCTATCTGTGTGTCTAATAAATATGGAATATAGAGTTACCAACAGATATGTTGAAATTATCAAATCCTTTGTGATTCTCCAATCATTTATGCTTTGTGATTATTTTTTTAAGCTTCATTTGTCCTTTACTGTTTGAAGGGTATGTTGCAAGGGTAACTAGACTGAAAATTCTTCTCAGAGTGAATTTTTACTTGCTCTTATTTTTTAAGTGCAACTCACTACTGTTTGAAATAAAGCAGTAAATGTGTTTATTTTATATATTTCCTTTGTTTTTCTCTCTAGGAGATATCAAACATATTCTAGAAAATGAACTTCAGATTCCTGCATCTAAAATGCTGTTAAAAGGGTGGAAGACTGGAGATGTAGATGATAGTGTAAGTTTTCAACTGTGTTTTCAGTTAACTGAACTCAATTTCAAACTGAGCATCTGTGGGTGGGGATTACAATGCAAGAATTGTTAGTTTCAAACAGTGTCAGATGCCTTGGGTGGCACACAAAGAGCTCTTAATCTAAAACATTGCAAAATAAAATCAGGACAAATCAGTTTTGTTTGGTTTGCATATAATGTGGCCCACCTACAAAAATGATGTTTTGAAGTAACAAGAAGTATATATCAAAACAAAATATTTGCTGATATTGTAAATACATATCTATAATTTTTTTAAAAGTCAGAATTGGTGAATGTCTTATATTTATAATGATTTTTCTCCCCTCAGACTGTTTTAAAAAGTCTACACTTGCCAAAAAATAATAGTCTTTATGTTCTAACACCTGACCTGCCTCCTCCTTCTTCAAGTCATTCTGGGTAAGTCTTTTGGCCATAAATTTTATTTGTATGGTTTGGGGTTTATTTTTGTGTTTTTTTTTTTATTGAAGCCATGTGTGTATTTGTAGGAATCTGCAGTCAGTAAATACAAAGTGTTTTCACTGCACTAGTGACTGTTGGGATGAACTAACTCAGCATCTCATTGAAAAGAATCTTGTTGAGGTTTTTAGAACTTTGGTGGGGTGCATGAACCTCTTAGGTATATATAGAATTTTACACTCTCAGATGTGATGACTTTAACAGAAATCTAGTCCTTGGAGGAACGAGAGCTAGCCTTGCATAAGTTGCTGCTTTATGTTGGTCCATTTAATGTATCTTAAAAATGTGTATAAATAATTTGTGTCTGTTCAGAATTTTCTTTATGAAATGTTCATTACATTATTTTATCTTGTATTTTAAAATATGTAGATGGGCTGAATAATTAATTACTATAAAGTAATTGTTCATTAAGAATGAATTATAATTTATTTCCTTGAATTGAGAAGAATATATTTTATTACTTATTTGAACACTCAAGAACATTCAAGAAGTAAGCAGTGAGTAAACAGAATCACAGAATCATCAAAGCTGGACAAGACCTTCAGATTATCTAGTTCAAGCCAGCATAATCACCTCTGAGACATATCCCAGGTGCCACATCCAGACATCTCAAACACTTCCTAGGAAACTTGATCCAGTGCTTAACCACTCTTTCAGGGGAAAATATTTTTCTCATACCTAATCTGAACGTGCTGTGGTGCAATTGAATGCTCTTTCCTCCATCCTTCCCCCTGGGACACGGCAGTGGAGGCAGGTCCCGTCCTGTTTTTGGGGGGTTTGGGGGGTGAGGAGGTCCCCCCTGAGCTGAGGGGTTTCTCCGGGCTGGGCACCCCTCGGTCTCCGCTCCCAGGATTTCCCTCCGTGTCCTCCCGGAGCTGAGGGGCCCCGAGCTGGGCACAGCAGCGAGGTGGGCTCGGCAGCACAGGGGACAGTCCCTGCCCTGCTCCTGCTCCTGCTCCTGCCCTGCTCCTGCTCTGCTCCTGCTCCTCCCTGCTCTGCTCCTGCTCCTGCTCCTGCCCTGCTCCTGCTCTGCTCCTGCTCCTGCCCTGCTCCTGCTCTGCTCCTGCTCCTCCCTGCTCCTGCCCTGCTCCTGCTCCTCCCTGCTCCTCCCTGCTCCTGCCCTGCTCCTGCTCCTGCCCCTGCCCCTGCTCCTGCCCTGCTCCTCCCTGCTCCTCCCTGCTCCTGCCCTGCTCCTGCCTTGCTCCTGCCCTGCTCCTGCCCTGCTCCTGCCCTGCTCCTGCCCTGCTCCTGCCCTGCTCCTGCCCTGCTCCTGCCCTGCTCCTGCCCTGCTCCTCCCTGCTCCTCCCTGCTCCTCCCTGCTCCCGGTCAAATCCAGGCTCCTTCCCGGCTCCCCGGGCGTACCCGGCTCCCCCGGTCCGGCCGCTCCCCCAGCTCTCCTGCTGCCGTCAAGTATTGGCGAAGGTTTGAAGACGAAACGCTGTTATATGGAAAACACTCTTTTAAAGCAATTAGCGACTCGTTCAGTTTGTTTTCTTCCGCGTCCTTCCCTTTCCCCGTATGTACTGTTTGCCAGGAAATCGGGAATTTTCCTCGGGAGCCGCTAGAGGGTGCGCGGGAATTGAGCCTGCCGAAGGCGCCGATGCCTTTGGAATTGGGCAAAAAGCGTGGATTCCAGCTTGTCTGAGGAGGGAGTCGGCTTTCGGCCCTTGTAGGTGATAGGAGAACATTCTGCAAGTGCCAATTCTATTGCTGGTGGGAGGAATTCTTTGAGAGTCACTAGAAATTTGTAGTTGCCTTCCTAAGGACTGAAAGTACTTTGTATATTACTAAAAGGTACTTGTGCACAGTAACATGTAGTCTGTGGAACAATTAAGAATGCTGATATGAATTATAAAAATAATAGTTATAAGAAAAAGAGCATTAAGAGAGGGAAGAGTGGCACTTGAACAGAGGGTGGTGTACATGAACTGTATGTGCAAACAGGAGCTGTATTTGTGTGTGAGGACAATAAGCCATTGTACCTTGGCAGCTATTTGAAGAACAGTGAAAAGACACTACAGCTGCTCATTGTTTCATTTCCAATTTCAAAATTTTCTAGCCAGGTATTGCTGTATATTGTATTTTGAATGTTATAATTCTGGAGAGAAAAATGGAGTCTGGAGAGAGTTTTTATTGCAACTGCAGTAAAGTATATAACAGCAAACTGTTTAAAAACAGTTCTTTGCCTTTTTTATTGGATTAATGGTTTTAAAGAACTTCACTTGATAATAAAATCAAAGTAGTTGTTACCTTTTATAGTTTATATTTGTTTCATAGTGGAGATTAGTTCTGGATATTTTTAAGATAAAAGTTGGTAGCTTTGGGACAGCAAATGGTGACTAATTAGTGGCTATTTAAACATGGATAATTTGAAGGCTAGATCATCTTCCTGAAGTCATAAATTCTAGATGAAAGGGGAGGCTTGCCTCCAATTAAAGCATCAATGCAGATCAAAACACATCTAATTGAAGCAATGTACCAAACCCAGTTACACTGTTTACTGCCTACTGTTAGGTCAGGTATTATTCAGATTAGTTTGTTACCCACAATTTTTAAAAGCGTCATGCTCACATCTATTATTAATGGATGTTGAGGAACTTTGCCTCTTGCTCTGGGAGTTCATCTGTTGTTTTCTTCAAATGCCTTCTGTTTTGAACTAGAGATAAATAGTCGTGATTTGAATATCTCCAGAAAGTGATATTTGAAAAGCGTGAGATTCTAGTATGTGATATTTTATCTACATGCCCTTCTTAAAAGGAACAGTCTGGCCTCAGCTCTGTAAGCTCCAATTTTTGTCCTTTATAGTGAGGCAGAACAGTGTCTGAAACATCCTATTCCTACATGTTGATATGAAGGCATTGAAGTTTATTGTGACAGACTGAATGGGCTTAACCCAGAACTGACTGAAAACCAGCATCTAAATGTAATCGCAAAGTGATCCTGCCTTTTAAATAAATAAAAATCTTCTGGGGTATCTTTATTCATCAGTGGCCTACCTAAAACTTTTATAGGTACTAGAAATCCAGTGAATTACTACTGCATGGTAGTAAATTGAGGTGGAAAGATAAAATTTAAATGTCAAATATCACCTGTATGGTTTCACCCTGCTTCCACAATTTCAACTGCAAAGCCATACTTATCCATGCACGATATCCAGAACAATAACCATGTATTCTATGAGCTGTGGACATACTGAAATCTAATTTCTAGTGAATTCCTGCCTCATCCCAGCAGCTGTGTAAATCAGCCTTCTCGTTCTATGCTTCCCAGCATCTCACCTACCTCTGGTGCTGGCTCCTGTTGTTGTATATTTTGTAACATCTGTGTAATATTTTTCCCCTTGCTCAGAATATCAGCCCGCCCTGCATCTGTTCTCCAGCTCACAGTCAGGTAGTATCAAAGGAAAGGAGAAATCATGTCTTGTGGGTAGTTCTGAGATCACTGGCCAGGGGTCACCCGGATGAGTATAAAAATACTTCACTTTTAGTGTAGCCTTTTACTGAGGTGGGTGGTAATTTGGGACCCCTTCCTCCTCCTGGCTGCCAATTTACATGTGGTATTTGAGAGCTTTCTAACAGTATGAGACCTCCTTAAAACCAGTGACTATGTTCAAAAGTTACCAGGTGGGTGGAGAAGGACACAATTTCCCTTGAAAGGAATGATGCCAAAGAATGTCCATCATTCAACATCCATGGGGTAGATCCCTTGCACCAGCTTTGTCAGATTAGATTAATCCCTTCCTCAGCATGCAGTTCCTTCCCTTTGTTGCCTTAGATGCTTCTTGAAGGCTGACAATACTCACTTGAGGAAATAGATTTAGAAGGATGCAAGAGGGAAGCATGAAAGTGTGAGCATGGGAGTCTGGCCATGGAACTGGGTCATCCAGATTGTCCTTTCTATCCTGTGTGTTCTGGGAGATGCTTTTTATAATTTTTTGTTGCTGTTGTCATTATAATGGATATAATGTATTTTATACTTTTTTTGCTAAACAGCTGAAAATTCAAGATATTTTATTGTACTTGATGAATCACTGGAAAGTTGAAAAGTATGAAAAACCCAGGTGCATACTATGGAGATTATTCGAACTATTGGAATTTTTCTAAGTAATTGTTACCTGTTAAACAAGTCTAATCATTTATGTGGAAAAGAAAAAAAACACAGATCCCTTTCTTCAAGCAATAGGTCCATATATTGCTGAATGCCTCTGCTTTAGATGATTGCAGAGCACTGGTGGTGATGTGGTGTCTTGTACGTTATCAGCTGTAGCAGAGTGTTAATTAAGAACGATGTAACCTGCAGCTCCAATTATTAGTCCTGTCTGTTTAACTGGACAGGAGCAGTGCCTTGCTTTAGTTACTTTAAAAGCTTCCATAAGAATGGTAAGATTAATGTTTTATTTTCCCATCTGTTCATGAGACAGTTTAAAAATCCTGAAGTTTAAAATGCAATAGAATGTAAACAAAAGGGCTTCTGCTCATTTACATGTTAGCCAGATTTGCTAACTGATTGCTGTTTGAACCTAATCTACCACCTCCTGCTGCATTAGCTACAACAAACATTACATTTACATACTGATTTCTTATTTTGTTTTAATGTAAATAATCTGTAATTACAGTAAATTTGGACTTCTGTTGACATGAGCTTATATAAATCTGTAAGTTTAAAATGGAAATGTTAATTACCTTGTGTCATACCTGTTTATATAAAATCAGATGTTTTGGGGGAAATCATTGTGACTGGGGGAAATCGTTGTGACTGAGAAAGATATTGCCTAGTGGGAAAAACTGAGTGTATTTCATAAAAACTGGGATGAAAAGGAGCATTTACATATCATTGATTAAAGATTTACTTATGGTGTCAAATTCTAAAATACTAGTAAAATTTCAGAGTAAAATGCTGTCAAAAAGCAAAGTATCATATAAAAAATCAGAGCATTAATGCCATCATTTAACAGCAGATAGAATCAATCTGTTTTTTATGTCCAAGTATCTTGCTAGAACTGGTCAGAGCAATGACTGTGCTCTCTGAACTGTTTTCTTTTGTCTGTTCTTGAACTTCTTTTTTGGGTGCAAGCAGGGTACCTCAATTGGAGGATTGGTGCCCCAAAAAACAGATTCCCTTGCCTATTGTGCTGCACAGCAAGTGCAGAATCATTCAGCTGAGGTAAAAGGGTTGTAATGGTGTATATCACCTAACAGCAAATGCTTTTCAAAGCTGGGGTTTGCAGTAGGGAAAAAAAGGTTCTAGCAAGAGTGGCCTACTTTAGTCCTCTTTCCAGAATTTAGTTTTCTTTTCCCACTAATTAATTCTCAGATTAATTGTATTCTCTTAGCACTGGTGGCAACAAAGAAAAAGAAGGAAAAAAAAAATCTGTCTTTTCTTTAATGGGACCTACAGTTTGAACCTGATTTTTTTTTCCCCTTTTAATGTAGCTATTTTATTTGGAAAATTGTAGTGAACTATAACATTTGTAGGAATATTAAACAGCTGCAAACACAGAGGCCAAAATTTTAGAGATATGCCTTGTATTCAAAGTTAGTCTTCTCAATTTACTTATGTGGACCTGAAGAGAAATGGAAATAGGCTTCATCTTACTGTCAATGAGAAGTTTCCTATAAATACTTTCACCTTGTAAAATTTATCATTACCTTGATGGCTACAATACCATTTTTGTGCAAGATGTATTTTGGCCCAAGTAATTTGGGGTAATCTGCATCCCCCTCTGATTCTGGGAGGGACAGGCATCGCTGGCTCTGTGTTCATATCAGCCCCATCCCACACAGAAGGGTGGCACCAGTGCTGGCACCAGTGACCCATCAGAAGTGCCATCAATCAGATGTGCCATCAGTTCCTCCTCCTTGTGACCTTCTCGTGGACACTGTCCAAGCTTTACAGCTGTCAGGCCATGTGAGATTTTGATGTAGGAGCTCCAAGGACTGGAGCAGGTGACCAGTACATTTCTGTAAGCAGAAGTAATGTTCCTCGGTTTGTTATTTTTCTGAAGAAAAAGTGAACAATTAACCATGCACTGCATTTGCTAACACTTTCAAACCCAGTTTTTCCTCATTTTTTTTTAGCCAACTTAATTTTCAGCCTCTTTTTTCACTCTGTTTGTCAATGAATATGTACCGAGAATTTGCTTGTTAACAACATTCAGCTTGTGTTGCTTAGAAATCCCAAAAGTAGAGGTGTCAAAATTGTTAGTTCAAAAATTAAAGCTTTTAATTTTTAGGCACTTCATTTAAATTTGTTTGAAGAGTATTTTTTTCCTTTCCAAAATACTTCCTGCTCTCACAAGTAGAAAACTTTTCCTACGAGCGGATGCTTTTTATTAGCAAGCTGTATTTTGAGTTGTACTGAAGTGTGTGGATCATGCATAACTGGAGAGACTGAGGGTTTGATCAGACTGGCCTGTTTATTCTATGTTTACATCAATTATAGAATGAAAACATGAGTCATGTTATCAGTTAGCATCTACAGATTTTTCAGATAGAGTCAAAATTGCTATAACAGAACCTTGTGTGAGTGTATGGAATCCAGAGCCATCCACATATGCAGTAATTAATGTTTTCAGAGCAATTAAATATGTCATTTGCCTTCAGTATTTGCTGAAAACAAATAAAAAATCAGAATCTGAAAACGCACAGCAGGATATTTTAGTTGCTACTGAACATTTGCCAATAGAAAATATGGTTATGGGGATGTGAAACTTACTAACAATCAAATTCGAATTACTTGTGAAAATAGACATGCAACTTTTCAGGACTCTTCTTTTTATTTTTTCCCCTCTTTTGAAGAACCTTTAAGTATTTAAAAGTTATGCCTTTTGTCAAAAATCTTGTGAAAGTTCAGAAAACTGCATGGTGATCATCGATGTCTCCAGTTATATTTGTAGCATCTCTCATGCTCATGATCATACTTAGCATTGGCAATCAGTTATATTTATTTTCCATATTGGAAAACCATAAAAGACAAGAAATAACACTTCATGATTTTGTTTTGTAGTATTTGATTATTGAGATGTGTCTGGAGCCAAATTAGGTTTCTGAGTGAAGATATTTTTGTAAGGTGAATTTCCCTAAGATGTTCAAACAAGCTGTGTAACTCTTGCTGAAGCATCCAGTGAGTATTGTATGAGTTCCTTGTATTTGAGCAGCAAAACAGCAGATCAGTAATTCCAGAAGGAGTTAAAACTAACAAATCAGGTCTGAAATGATGTAGGAGTCTTTCTTATCTTCTTGTATCATAAGATATAGCTGTGTTGATTTGCATTCAGAATTTGTCCTTTAGTGCTAAGAGGAATGGCATGTGGAAGTGTCACAGGATAGTGAAGATGTGAAGCAAAGAAACAGTCTGTCATTCTTTTAAGTGTATGTGATAAGGAAAAAAAAAAGAATTTAATAGGCCCGATTAAATTTCATAGGCCACTGAACAAGTCTGCATAAATATTGTTTAGAAACCCAAGCTGTGGTACAGTGTTGCTGCAGTTTTGTAGCATGTGTAAGATTGCACACAGCCATAATTGCCATGTCTGTAACAGAAGTCCTGCCTTCTGCTTTGAAAAGTAGATAGCTGCATAATTTTGTACCTAATTAAGCAATCAGGATGCCTTCTTAATATCCAGATGTTTTACCAACAGGAAAATCAGAAAAAAACCCCCCAAGTTTATAACAACATGAAGATATGGTTGGTCTGTTTAAACTGTATCTTAAGATTTTTTTTTTAATTTAATTTTTATTTATTTCTATTTTTATTAAAACCTCTGAGAATGTACATTTAAAACAGTGTGAGCAGAACTAAATTTTCTAAATGTTCAATACCCACACGAGAAATTTTGCTGTGGTTACTTTTCCAGTTCTAATTAGCTGGGTTTATATATCTTTAAATGAATCTAAGCAGAATAATTTCCATTTGGTTTCTACTTCAGATAACGCAAGGAAGAGCATGCTTTGCCTTGTTCTATTTACCATCAGTTCTTAATGTGCATCATAGCTTGATATTTGGTCTGGCCATCAATATGCTGACAAGCCTATTATTAATGGCATTAGGAGTGCTAAATACACCCGATGTTTGTGAAGATAATGGGACTCTCTCCATTTTGAAAATACTTAACATTAGATGAGCTTTAAAGGCTGCAGTCACCTTATTAAGGAGGGAGTTCAGGAATGGCCTTTGGTCATTCTCAGCATGCTTCCTTGCATTTAAGAGTGAAAAGAGAGATGATAATGTTGTGCCTGGACTTGTCCATGTAGAGTTTAGGGTACCCTGGGGTTTCTGCATCTAACTGTAAAACAAGCTATAACATGCTTATCCCTCATTTTCCTGTTTTTCCTTCAACCATTTCAGGGCCCTGCAGGAGTCATTAAATCAAAACTTCATGCTGATTGTCACCCATCGAGAAGTCCAGCGGGAGTACAACCTCAACTTCTCAGGAAGCAGTACCATTCAGGAGGTGAGTGCTGTTTCACAGCTCAAGAATAAATGTAGCTCATTATAGCTAATGCCAGCTCTCTTAAAAGGGGTTTGCATAGTCTTGATGGATATTCCTGTATTTTATTAGTATTTTTTATTTTAATCAACTGGATCATCAAGATTTGCTGTAATTTGATTAAAGAATTCAATTAGAAAAAGGTGTTCTATTAAATGATGCAGAAAGGATATTTCTTTTTGTACTGTAGTAGCAAAATACACAAACAGTTGTGTATACACAATTTATTGAGCTTTTCAAATTTCATTTTACTTAAAATGCCTTGAAGCTCCCTCTGTCTTCCATTCTTTTAACCAGCTCCATCTCCATTTTGTAGGCACCTCGACCACTGTGCTGGTTGCTGGTGGAGTGCTGTAATTCTTACTGGCCTGGTTGCCAAATGGTTTTGTGTGTAATGGACGTTGCTGCCGTTCTGTGGAACGGCCAGCAAGGGGTGATATTGGAGAGAACTTCGGCAGAATTAAGTCCTAAAGGAACAAATATCTCTGATGTGACTCTGGACTCCCTGAATTCAGAATAAGCAGTCCCTTGCATATTTTTGAAACTCCTTTCCAAGCCCAAAGATTGTTGTCTAGTGCTCCATGGTGTATCTAATGCCACATGTTGTGGATGTTATTTTCCATATGACCCACTGCCTTCTAGAAACTTGACAAACAACCTAGAAATGTGAATCTTCAGAATTCATATTACACAATATTAAGATTAAATGTTTGCTTTTAAAATTAAATGTATGCTTGCTGTTATTGGTCTGACACTTCTCTCTGTCTTTTAGAGTTGAACAGATTTTATTGAAGTTTCTTGTGTCACATGCTGACATGGTAGACAGAATTAATTTAAGTTCTGTAACATTAGCTATGGGAGTAGTATCTCATACAACAATGAAAAATGATCACTAACTGTTTTCCTTGTGAATCCTGTTATTCTTAAGATCTAAATTCTCCCATGTGAAAGCTTGTTTTCTATTTCTTATGTTTTGATCTACTACAGTAAGTTCTGTTTTGCTTTTCGTGGTAATACAGATACACATACTTGAATCAGTTTGACTTCTGAAGGGCTGAGCTTTGACTTTCTAGAATGATAAAGAATTTGAATGTTTATGGAAATAAATCATCCAAATATGTGCTTTTTATTTTAAAATTGTGTGATTCTAAGAGAAAACACATACATATATATTGTTTGTTTGTTTTTTATCAGTGCTGTATCATTTACTTCTTTACTGAGGGGTCTTACCTGGCTTAAAGGAACCAGAAAGGTGTGACAGGGGATCTAGGCTGACTTTCCATGCACTGGAGTTTTCTTGTTCGTTTGTAATGGCAGGTTATGGTCATCAGGTTGCCATATGAAATCAACCTAATGTAAAAGTTAATAATTATTTTTCCCTTAAACAACCAAAATAAAAGCCCTATTACCACGTAACCAGAAGGAGCACGAAACATTTCCTTGCCTTTCTTGTATCTGAGTGTCATACCCAATAGAGTGTATAAAATTGTGAAGGGGCTAAAATGGCCCTGGTTTTGCAGCTGATGCTGAACAGGTGAACATGTCTGTCTGTGCAAAGGCTCCTGGAAATCCCTGGGGATTTTGCTGAGGTAAAAGGGTTGCTGAACATTTGTCTAATTATAGAAAACAAGCACTGTTTTGAATGTTAACTCCCTAATGGCTTCTTAATTTAATTTTTTTTTCCTTTTAGAGTAATCATTGTAACAAATCTAGGCAGTCCTTGTGGCTTGGAGGAACCGGTGGTATCGTTCCTCATCTCCTTTGTCTCTGTCCTCTCCAGGGACTGTTAGATTTTTTTTTTCCCTCTTCATTCTCTTGTTCACACTTTAACAAATTAATAGTTTACTTTCCTCCTGGTGTATTTTTGTAGCGGTGGAGAAGCTCAGTGATGCAGTTGCCAACCACAAGAGGGCAGGAAGGACTATTCAATTATTACCTAAAAATGCTGCTCAGTGTTTTCAAATTAGCTTCTGGTATATTAACAAAAAGGACTATAATGGCCAAGTTATTGTTTGATTTACAGATAATTGGCATATTGCAGGGAGGAGACTTAATTTCACCCTTTTAAATTAAACAGGGAGATTTAAAAAGACATAAAATATTCATTAATGTTCAGTGATTATAAAGCAGTGGCATATATTTATTCTACCTTTATTACTGTTTCGATGGGAAAATACAGCAAATATTTCAGAAATCGACTTGGCCATACTGACAAGTTGAAATGTTTAAGCAGTGTTAATGCAATCTACTCACACGCCATCTCCTATGCAGAAAGATTCAAAATGACTACATCAATTATTAAAAGAAATATTTAAGATTCTAGAAATGTTCTACTTCTTGCCACAGTTGGTGAAACTGTCTCTCAAGGGCTACTGGTGCAGTGTGTTGTTGTTATTAGTATTGTGAATTTTAAGGAATAGATATTTTTTCCAGGCGTCTCAAAAACCCCCCAGTCTTGCACCAAAAACTCAACCCCACCACCCTTTCAGAAGGCAGAAATGTTTTGCAGTGCATTAAATGCAAAATCCAGTGAGCTCACAACTGTGCTTTCCTAAACTGCTATTGCTGCAGTTCTCTGTTTTTTTATTGTTTAGGATGCATGTTTAATAGTGAATGATATTTGGATGAATTGTTTTTTCAAAGAAATTGCAGTGTTTAAGGGGAAACCATGTGACAAAAATTTACTTGGGGGAGGCTTGTTCCGTTAGTGCTCATGTCTGCTTCCAAAACTGATTGCATATTACTTTAATAGTGGCATTTTGGAGGGTAATTGCAAATGCCTTTGTTTTATTTTTTAATATTCTTTATCTAAATAGCTAACTCTTTATGTATTACGATCTGTTTTCTCATCTTAAAAAATATAAGTTACATTCAGTTATATTGTTTTGTGATCCTGAACTTATATAGAATCTTTGGAAATTAAATAAAAAAGTAAATGGAACTTGTAAAAAATTCTGTATATTCGATTTAAATTTTCTTTTTTGTGTTGGGCAGGGGAGTAGTTTACTTGGAAAGTTAATAACAACACGATGGTCTAAATTGCAAGTTAATCTGTGTCACAGGTTTCTGCCATCCATTTGTTCTCATAAAATTGCACTATTAAATTAATTCTAGGCAGATACTGTTCTGGAAAATATCATGGTTACTTTTTTCCATTATCTGCATTTTAAATTGGAAATTGGTAGGTTTTGTGCCAGTTAGGAGACTGTTAATGAATACATTTCCAGTGTGTTAGACGGTTAAATAAAGGCAATTTGACAAATTGAACTCCTAATACAAGGCTAAAATGAGTTTTCTTCTGAAGACTTGTTCTTTATTCTGCTACAATAATTTATAGAGGCTGTTTGAAATTGGAGAGATTTTTTAACTTCAGGTTTGAGAAGCTCTGTCCTAAATTATTACAAGGCATTGCCACATTAAAGATAATTTCTTCTCTATCTATACTTACCAACTTGTTCTCATTTAGAAATGAACATTTCTACTATTTTTCATTTTTGCAAGTTGTATTTTTATTATTTGACAGAAATGAAGGAAAGCCTTCTTCAGAAAGGGGAATATTTGAAAGTGTTAAAAGCAAGTTTGTGTTCTGATCCTGGAGCAGACAAACTAATTTGTGAAAAACTTAATGGGCTTGAGTCACAATAATGTGCTCTACACTTTTTGTTTTAATCAGTGACACAGAGAAAAAAAAATCAAACATTTAACAAACTGGATCGCTCCATTGAAAACAAGGACTTTACATTTGTCTATTTTACTCTTTTGATACAGATTTTGAAGCCTTTTTGTGATTCTTTCGTGCAGGATTGCAAAAATATCCAGTGTACACAAGCTGTGGCTGCTAAAGGGTGGATAAATATGCAGAACCCTCAGTCCCCTCACAGATTGGTGATCTTATTTTGTAACTGCTGGAAATTCCAGTTGAGAATACTATGTAAAGCAAGTACTGGGCACTAGAATTCTTAGTAAAACATAAAATCTGTGCAAACAATGCAGAGAAGATGGGTTTTTAAATACTGGCTGCCTCTGCATAGCTGCCTCTGCTTTTTATTCCGTTCCTTTAGCCAATAATTTAAGCAGGGGCTGTCTGCTCAGCATCCCTGTCACCTGTGCTAGGTAATGTATTTGTTCTCTGCTCCCCACAGACTCACTGGCTAAGGTGGAATATGGAAAGCAATGTATCCAATAGCCCTCCAGGCAGGAGGAGGAACTATTTGTGCACACAACTGCCTGGGTTGAGATAAACTGTAAATTCTGTGTTGACAGACTCTAATCAAATCCTTTGTGATGGATTTCTTTAAACTTTTTTCGTGAGTGGATGAATGTTAAACAAGATGCAAAATCAGCATTATGAGCATGCAGGCAGAAGCCTCATATACAAGGCCTAAAGAAATGTAATATATAAATATAGGTAAGCTGAAAAATTACCTGCAGCAGGCAGAAAAATAGTCTGGCTGAAGGTCTGGTACATTTTTCAGATCTGTTTTTTGGTTCTGAAAAAAATATTTTCAAGACAGTTGTTGTTGAGTGAGATCATTCAAACTGACACTGACATGGAGACATGAAATGCCTGTATAAATAATGTTACTCTTTTAAATGTTGTAGCTAAATAATTGCAATTAAAACACATTTACCAGAAATAGATGTACCCAAATATGGTAAATATATTAATAATTTCAGAAACAGTTATTTTGTGTTTTGACATTTTGTACTTGCTTTAAAATTGTTGAAAACTACTGTTGTAGTAAAAGTCAGCAACTAGCACTTTTTGAATTTAATAGGAAGTGCACAAACGTTCTATTGTTTAAATACTCCTAGTATCAGAGAAGCTATTAAAATACATTGCTATATTCATTGTACTCGAGAGATGTATGTCTCTGTGAAATGTGAACATTCAGTTTGCTTTTTAAAGAAATCTGTCATCTTAAAATTATACTCAATTTATAGCAAGTTGTAACAGCATTATA